TCTTATCCCCTCCACGCAATTTTGCAATCACGTTTATTGCTGATAATTTCCAGACTAATGACTCTTAAACGTCAATTCAAATGAATATAGTATTTACAACCGAATTGCAAACAATTACAATAAAAAAAATCATTTAAGAGTGATTAGAAAAAAAAATGCGGCTAACTACATGGGTCATAAGTTTTTTATTTTTTATAAAAAAACTATCCACTCTTAAACATTATGACCTTTTTTACAATCACCTGCGAACAATTTACAATCGATTGTATGAGTTCGTTTTTGTAATTGTTGATAATTTGGGGCTAATTACATACTGCTTAACGCAGCCCTTATCCTATCTGATCATCAGGTCCTAAACTCGACGAGTAGTATCTCCACTGCTACCCTTCTGCTGTCACTGGAGGCTGTATGGAAGTTCATCAAAAAACGCGAAACCTGTTTGGGCGTGTTTTTCGATGTATTTGTTTTTCTCTTGTAAATTTTCCTTATTTATTCTTTCCTCACCTCACATTTCATTATATTGAAGGGATGCAGATAGGTTGTCATCAACAAAGTTGATATTCCAGTGATAATTATTGTGTGGTAGGCTTAAACCCTATATTTACCCAAATAGGTAACATTTCCTTACTAATTTACCATCGTTTTTTAGCTGAAGGCTTTGGATTGATAAGAGTTAAAACAGAAATGCTAAGATACCTGATGACGGTTGATGGATCGGTTGAATCAATAATAATAGTGTCCAAGAACGGAATGTTGAGTCCAACCTCAGAAGAATGGGAATCGCCATTGCTTGCTTCACTACAACTTTCTTCAACCCACTGACTAGCTCGCCCAGGGATTGGTCCGGCTAATTGCATCGGAGAATCTGCTGTCAGATCAATGTAATGAACTGGCTGTGACGATGGTGAGTTCGTACGATTGCGTCGGCGTCTCTTGGGTACAGTTGACATGACCAAGTGCTTCGTATCCTGGTGTGCCAATTATTCAACCTGGAAATTTGATTGTCAATTGAAGATATTACTGATGATTATTGATAATATTACTCGTTATCTACCAGTTAAAAATACAAAATTCTAAGAAAAAAACGTAAACTCTCCCACTGTTACTCATTACACTTACAAAGTACTTACTTGTTGACGAACTTGTTGACAACGGTTATTCAAATTGTGCTGTGTCAGTCTGAGCATTTGCTCTAAAATTAACAGAACCGTTTAAAATCTACCTTTTCTTCACTCTTTCTAATAAATTTGGCAATAGGGAAGTTGGTCAAAACTCTTTTGGAATAAACAAAAATAAGTTTTTGGTTTTCCGTTGAGATTTCAGAAAGATATATATTTTGGTGATCCTAACCAAAGAAGATTGACTAAAGTAGAAGCTCAGTTCTGGGGGTTTGAGTGAACCCAGCGGGATCGTAGTACCTCACCCCAAGAGAGCGAGGGTGCCACATGCAATGCCCGTTAGTCAATACAACAGCAGTATCCAATTAGCCGACAAAAAATATTTTTCAAATAAATTATCGTTCAGAATTGCTTGTAATTCGTTAGCTGGTCATTGTACATCGGCTTTTAACGTTTGAGAGTTGATGTTTTTTTTTTATTAATTAATAAAAAAATTTGATGAAGATAGCCAACAAGAGGCAAGAGTGTCGATAATTTTCGGAGGGCGTGGGTACAGATAGGGCACAGCGCGAGCCCGAGAGTGTCGATAATTCGAGGCGGTCGTGAGTGTCAGAAAGGGGCACTGTGCATTTGGAAGAAATATAATTTTTTTATTAACTTTTCAAACTTTTTTCTTCATAAATATTTAGGTGGTAATTTGGTGGAATTTAGGAGAACATAATTATAATTTGGGAGT